TGTTTTGCTAGTTAGAAGTATTACTGAACATAGGCAACTGCTGACGTCTTTTACAACACTTCTTAGTTATGCTACTTAACCAGATTAGGAAAAATGGCTCAATTTAGAGGCCTGCATGTGTTTGCTGGGAGTGTAAATTTACCTTCCAGCACATTATTCCACCTCACAGGTGTTAGAAATTGAGGCGGAGGTGGGGAACAACAGCGCAGAACGACAGACTTTTTGTACTGCCAATCAACAAAACAAAAATATCACAAAACTATTGTGCATAACAAATTATGAAATTAACAATATCAAAATTTAATCAACAATGATGGACCTAAACCTATAGAAGCCTGTTTTTGCCACTGAATAAAAAATTTTTTTTCTTACAATTGTGATTTTGACTTTTTTCTCTCAGAACTGTGTCATATAAAGTTGCACTTGCATGTTTTAAAATAAGAACTGTGAGATATAAACTCATAATTCTGAGAAATAAAGTCAGAATTGCAAAATATACATAATCTTGCAATTTATATCTCGCAATGCTCACTTCATAACACACAACATCACAATTGTAAGAAAAAATATATATATTTTTATAACTCACAATTGCAAGTTTATATCTCAGAATTCTAAGAAAAGAATTGTGAGAAATAAAGCCAGAACTACAAGATATGAACTCAACACAATGCAGTACTAAAATAGATTATTGTACTTAAAATCAAACACTGAAATGTATTAATTTAACTATTAATATCCAACAATGACCAATTATGTAAAACGATTTTTTGCTAATAATGTTCCAAATCTAAAAACAGCATTGTAACTTTCTTTTTTAAAAGTGACTAGGTCTATTTATTTTCCTCTCCAAACCAAACACGAATATATGGCTTGTTGCATTTGAATATAATTTACTTGAAAAGCAACACTGCATAATATATTGAGGCTTCTAGTGATTAGTGATATGACCAAAATAGTATATCACAATATGAGTCATTTTATTTCATGATCACAATATAGTTGTTAGAATGGTAACATTTTTAAATGACATTGAAATTTCACAATTATGCATTCTATACAATACTAGCCTAACTAATACAAATAAAAAGAACTCAAGCTTACTGGAGACAAGTAAACAGTCAGTAATTAAATAACACACAAACTAAATGCAAGTCAATTTTGTCATTGTTTTTTTCTTTTTTAAAGCCTAAATCTAAAAAAAAAATGAAAATCACAATTACGAGAAATAAAATCTTAATTACCTTAGCTTCCAGAGCAATGAGTCATTTTTCATATTTTAAAATGTAATAAAATAAATAAATAAATGGTGCATTTGATATGAACACACATCTGTCTATATAACGGTTAGAATGTAAAATAATATTATGTTATTATATTATTTTATTATTTTATGTACATGTAAATTGATACCCATATAAGAGTATATTTATAATTATAAGTATAATTATAACCCCTTTATGCAAACTTATTGTTATAATATTATTAATATATTTTAAATATATTTAAACAGATTAAAAATTATATACTACTAATGCTACGACTCCTACTAATTGCTTCCTAAAAAAAAAAAAACTATTCAAGATAAATGCCAATAAGAACATTTATTTACTCAAAAACAAATTGTATCCTACAAATGTTTACTTGAGAGGCAAATTTATCTCGTTTCAAAGGCATTTATATATTTAAATAATGATTACAAAAATGACTTTCTGCAGTGAATGAATAAATTCCTGTTATTATTTTCAGATTTTGGGAGCTGTGTGTGTTTGTGCTCCCATCATTCTTGTTGATTCAGTGTGTGTGTGTGTGTGTGTGTGTGAAGGTGTAGACAGGGCCTGCTGTAAGCCGCTGGTTGCAAGAATGAGGAAGCTCTGGTCAAGCACTGACAGATTTATGTCTGGCTCTGTCACACTGGGATTACAACCAATTAGTATCCACTCGCAAAAGTCATTATTCTACAAAACCAGTTTTCGAAGAACAGCACAAAAGCACAAACAATGTTAAATGAACACTCACAAATGAATTCCAGAGGTATTTATCTCAGACGTCATTACAAGACCAGAATTAGAAAAATGTGGTCTTAATACTAAGCACAACAACACTGGCACTGCTTTAATAAGCTCCTGTCATAAAAATATATGTGTTTAGAAGCATAAGGCTGGCAGTGTTGCTCAAACCTTCTTTTAAAACCACACACTGAATGATTAAGACAAGATTCTCCTATTGAAAGGAAATTTAAAGGGCCTTTGGTCATAGGTTTTTGATGAATCATTTGTTGTTAATTAGAAACGGCTGATGTTCATGATGTTCATTTCTGTTAGCAGTTTTTGAACGTCCTTATTCTTCCACATTTGAATTCACAAACAAATGACTCCAAATGACATGTGGGCAAGTATGGTGACCCATACTTGGAATTAGTGCTCTGCATTTAACCCATCCAAAGTGCACACACAGAGCAGTGAACACACACACACACTGTGAACACACACCCGGAGCAGTGGGCAGCCATTTATGCTGCGGCGCCCGGGGAGCAGTTGGGGGTTCGGTGCCTTGCTCAAGGGCACCTCAGTCATGGTATTGAAGGTGGGAGAGAGCACTGTACATTCACTCCCCCCACCTACAATCCCTGCCGGTACGAGACTCGAACCCACAACCTTTGGGTTATGAGTCCGACTCTCTAACCATTAGGCCACGACTTCCCCACCAGTCTTTCACTCACTCACTGAATCAATCCGAATGGTTCTTGATTTACCGACTGCAAGTTATTACTTCTATAATGTCTTGCTGGAAACAAAAACTGATACTATGTTCTACTTAATACTCAAAATTAAAAGCTGCATTGCTGAAGCCTCTGTGCTCTTGAAGGACAGAGTGGGAGGAACATGCAGGTGGAACATTGCTCTGTCACGCCATTAATAGAGTGACACTTTATTTATCTGACGGTGAGTTTCAATGGTGCTACAGGCCCCTGGACTAACAATCCACATGAAGCAACGTAAACACAACTCAGCTATGTGCTCCGCCAGGCAGGCGGACAGTACTGCGCTTTCTTAAACAATGTGCTTCAGAGATCTCTTTTACGAGCCATTAAAACAAGTCCAACGTCAGATAAGCCTATCTGCAAACATCATGCCATAACCGGTCATGACACCTTTCCACACTGAAAGTGCAAAACGCCACATGACATGACAACCACAGCCATTCAGAAACATATTTGAGACTTCCATTAGTAGTCGTCACATCAGACCACTGCTCATCTACGTACAGTTAAACTGCTTAAATTACCAGCATGACTTTCGCTAAACTGTCCTTTTTTAAAATAAATAAGTAACCAACAGCCTTTAGTTACATCACAGCCAAGAACCATTATTCACTCCTTGCTGAGTAAAAATGATGTCATCTACATTACAATTCAAAATTTTGGGGTCAGTAAATTATTTATTTATTTTATGTTGTTTGAGAAAAAAAATCTCTGAAGTTCCCCAAGGCTATGTTTATTTAATCAAAAATAGAATATTGAATACTGAATAGAACATAACTGTAAAAACGAGCACGGTCTCATGAAAATGCGTATAAATAGTACGCCAAATAAAAACGAAAACTCGTGGTATTGATACGCAAAAATGGACTTTGGCGTGTATATGCTACGCGATGGGTAGGTTTAGGGTTGTGGGGTAGATGCGTATCATATGTACGCGAAAACTGCGTATCATATGCACGTGAAAACGGCGTATTATATGCACGCCTAACACATGCGTATCATATGCACGTGAAAACGGCGTATTATATGCACGCCTAACACATGCGTATCATAGGCACGCCAAAGTCCATTTTTGCGTATAAATACCATGAGTTTTCGTTTTTATTTGGCGTACTACTTATACGCACTTTCATGAGATCGGGTTGAGTAATATTATTATAATTTAGTTACCATTTTCTATTTTTATTTATTTTAAAATGAAATTTATTCCGGTCATGCAAAGCTGAATTTTCAGCATCATTACTCCTGTCTTCAATGTCACTTGATCCTTCAGAAATCATTTTAATATACTGATTTGCTGCTCAAGAAACATTTATTATTATCAATGCTGAAAAAAGTTGAATTGCATAATATTTTTGTGGAAACTCGTACTTTTTTAAGGATTCTTTGACGAACAGAAAGTTCAAAAGTACAGAAATATTTGTAACATAATAATGCCACTTTACTGCCACTTTTGAGTAATTTAATGCCTTATACGCACTTTCATGAGATCAGGTTGAGTAATATTATTATAATTTAGTTACCATTTTCTATTTTTATTTATTTTAAAATGAAATTTATTCCGGTCATGCAAAGCTGAATTTCAGCATCATTACTCCTGTCTTCAATGTCACTTGATCCTTCAGAAATCATTTTAATATACTGATTTGCTGCTCAAGAAACATTTATTATTATCAATGCTGAAAAAAGTTGAATTGCATAATATTTTTGTGGAAACTCGTACTTTTTTAAGGATTCTTTGACGAACAGAAAGTTCAAAAGTACAGAAATATTTGTAACATAATAATGCCACTTTACTGCCACTTTTGAGTAATTTAATGCATACTTGTATGAAAAACATGAAAAGAAATTTCTTTAAAAAAAACTAACCGTAAACTTTTAAAAAGTAGTTTATATTCTTATCCATATTTCCAGACGAGAAAGTGTGTAAAACTGTAAACGCATATACATGCTAAAGGCTTCAAAGCTAACAAAAATGGACTCACAATTTTCATATTTACAAATATATAAAATGTGTTAAATATAGTTGACCGTACAAAATGCCTGACAGCATTATCAGCATATCCAGAAAATGTATTAAACCAACATACAAGCAGAAACCTGTGGAGTTTTCTGCACAGTTCTGCAGGAACAGATTCGGTTTATAATTTATCACTCTCCACATACTGTCAAACAAATAAATAAGTGCATACAGGAAGGCCCTAATACTTTTTGAACAAATAACAGAGACACTCACCCATCTAGTAACAGGATTGCATTTTTACGAGGACGGCCGATGTTGGGCCCGTAGAGGTTCGCTCGGCTGTAGAAACGCACCGACTGCAGTAATGTCCTCAGAAGAGAGTAATCCTGAGCCAGACGAGAGCTGTTAACTGATCGAGCAGCCATTGTGCGGTAACTGTTGGGCTCTGTGAGGGGAAATAAAGAAAAATAATGCATAATAAGACTCTGGTTAACTAATTAATGATGACTGATTCATTTAACGGGAAAAGTCTGGGGTAAGAATTCTGACTCTACATATTGCAATTCTGTTTTTCTTTTCTGCTGCTGCTGCAAAAAGTAAAACATTTTTAATAATAAAAAAAGGTAATTGAGACTTTTTCTCACAATTTTGACTTTTGGTCCTCTTTTGTGAGAACTGCAAGAAAAAAAAGCCAGAATTGTGATAAAAGTTGCAATTTAGCTTTTTTATTTTACATTTTTATTTATTTATTTTATCCTGTGGCGAAAATAAGCTTCCATATATTTCTTAAGCAGTCGTGCTGCTTAACATTTTTGTGGAAACCATGATACATTTTTTTTTCAGGATTCTTTGATCAATAGAAAGTTCAAAAGAACAACATTTATCTTTAATGAAATTCACATGCAGACATGTAAAATGTCCATTTTGATCATTTTAATGCATCCTTGCGGAATAATATTTTTTGATTTAGTTTCTTTCCTTATTATTATTATTATTATTTTTTTAATCTTAATGACCCCAAATTTTGAATGGCAATTGTTTTTCTGAGGTTAACAATTGTGGTCAATAGTATGGAAAACAGCTGTGTGAAGATCCTTCAAAAATTCTCCTCATCTGTTCCACAGTTTTATAATGACAGAAGTTGTATTTTTCGGGTGAGCTATTGCTTTAAGACTTCTGAAACAACCTGACACCCAATCACAAGTGAATATGCAAACTGCCTTTGAATTACGACCTATATTGTGGTCAGCACTTTGTAAACTATTTAAACAAGGCAACACTTTGGGAGGTGCTCACTTGAAATCACAGCAAGGACGTTACAGAAGTCAAGTGGCAAACTTTATAAACATCACAGCCTGTGTGAGTGTGTGTTTGTGTCGGGGATAGAGATGCTGAGCTGTAGTGTCAATACAGTACCGGGCCAGGCAGAGGCCAGTGGAAAATATGAGGCATTATTATCCATTAAAATATTCTCCAGATCCTATCATTTAGAAAAAGCACAAAATAACACATAATCATGAAATAAATCATCACAGTGCCTGTGCATCACTCTGTCATACTGGCACAACCCACTCGATAAACATCCACCCACAGCTGATAATATTTCTCTTTGCTTCATTTGGACTCTTTGTTTGCTTGAAATTGTTTGTTTTTGAATTAACAGCTCCACAAGATTTGATTTGGTAACAGCTTTCCTTCAGACGTGGTTATTGTTACAGCTGAAGTCAGAAAGACAAACATTCAAATGGTGTTCCAGTAATAACATGCTTTTAATAGAGTTAGTTAAATGAAAATAATCTGTTCAAAGGATGCCTTTTAAACTGGCATTATGTAACAGACATTAGATTATAATATTATTTAATTAATTTTCATATGAATTACATCTTACATTCAATACGAGCAGATTGTGCTGCTTCCTTTGGTCTCATATGACAGTCTCAGAACAAAAGCAGCGATCTGCATGCCTGCAGTTTTTCTATGCAAACATCTAGTAACGTTTTGACACATGCAAAATGTAGCCAATAAACAAACGATTAAGACAATATATGGTCTATGTACATTCTTAAATATGTCTCTGGTATTTTTATAGGTTTAGTGTTTAGTATGGAAAGTGTGCGATACTTCAGGCTACACATGCTGTCAATAACATCAACCAATATCATCATAAGATCATAATTATTCAAGTCACAGGTTTTACACTCTGTGCTGTTTTTATGTTTATAGAGAGACATTTGATACAAGAGCAACATGAATGGGGCAATTTGCAGCATGTCTGGCACAGGACAATAGATGAATGAGTGCTTAGAGCAGATTACAAAGTCACCAGGTGTCCTTTTGGATTCTGTTTGTGTATTTGTCTCCTGACATAAGCCCTATTCGAATGGGATTAGTTTTATATGAAGAGGTGGGGTCATGTAATAATGATCAGAGCTTCCCTGTGATTTTGAAACCCATCTGAATTACCCATGTCGGTCACTTTTACTGCGCCGGTAAAGACTGCTTCTATAAGAAAAATAACCATAATTCTCTATTTTCAGCTTTTGTACATCAAGCACTTCAAGTGTCTCAAGTGGAAGATGGTCAATGAGAAGACACCAGAAAACAAAATACAGTTGCTGAGTGTGGATTTATGGGCTTTCTCTCAAATCTAGTATTTTTTCCCCCTTAAACTCTGAGAGCATTTCTTGCTGGAACAGAAATACATACATATATGCATTAAAAAAAAAACATAAAACAGAGAGAGAGAGAGAGACTAAGGACAGTGACAAATAAACTTGTTTCAATATTTCCTACTAATCCCATCATGTTTAATATTTCCTGAATCCTCTGCAGTGAATGGGTGCCGTCAGAATGAGAGTCCAAACATAAAACAGAGAGAGAGAGAGAGACTAAGGACAGTGACAAATAAACTTGTTTCAATATTTCCTACTAATCCCATCATGTTTAATATTTCCTGAATCCTCTGCAGTGAATGGGTGCCGTCAGAATGAGAGTCCAAACAGCTAATAAAAACATCACAACAATCCACAAGTAATCCACACGACTCCAGTCCATCAATTAACATCTTGTGAAGTGAAACGGTGTGTGTTTGTAAGAAACAAATCTATAATTTCTATTTATTTCTCTCTAGTCCATAATCCATAATAATGCTTCCTTCAGTGAAAAGGTCCATCATCCCCTGTTGTCCTCTCACATCAAAATCCACCAACATATTTGTTTAGAACTGTCACTGTCAGAACTTTCTTGTAATGCTGCTTGATCTGTGCATATTTCTCTCCTGAGTCAGAAGAAACTACTTTTTCATTGGAGAAAGCAATATTAAGGATAAAGGACTCATATTTTAGCTGGAAGCAATGATTTGAAGTTAAAAATGTCTTGATGGATTTGTTTCTTATAAACACACAGCTTGTGGATTACTTACATTACTTGTGGATTATTATGTTTTTTGATGGAGAACTGTTTTTCTTGTAATGCTGCTTGATCTGTGCATATTTCTCTCCTGAGTCAGAAGAAACTACTTTTTCATTGGAGAAAGCAATATTAAGGATAAAGGACTCATATTTTAGCTGGAAGCAATGATTTGAAGTTAAAAATGTCTTGATGGATTTGTTTCTTATAAACACACAGCTTGTGGATTACTTACATTACTTGTGGATTATTATGTTTTTTGATGTTTCAAATTTGAACTCAATGGAGTGAGTGAAGTGTGAAGGTTTGAACCTGTAAACTTTTAGTTTATCACACAAGTTAATCACTGCTAGATGGGATGGATGCTTCCTTTTTCTTTCATACATGCATGGAAGATGTAGAACATTTCATATCACAGACCGATATCACGTCAAAGATAATGCAAAAGATCATGTTTGAATCTGCAAGTCAGTGAGGACTCACCATTGCCGAGCTCCCAGGAGATGTTGTATTTTTTGCCGGCGCTGTATTTGAGCAGACTCACAGCACTGGAGGTGTTCCATGAGTTGTCAGGGTTTCTGTGCTGGGCATTCAGCCCAAAGATCAGGTGCAGTCCCGCGCAGTCGGCAAAGTTGTAAAGTTTGTCTAAAGACCTGGCTGGGAAAAAGCCAGACACAGCTGTAACATTGATACTTCTTTTTTATCATAATAACCATTTTATATTTTAGTTTGGAATTTGGACTTTTGTATATTGACAATAAAAAAACATAATAATAATTAATAATATTGATTATTATTATTATTAACAATAATTACAATAACAAATTATTTTAATAATAATAGTAATTATTATTATTGTAAATTCATAATGATAATAAAGGACTTATTTTTACTAAAATAAGTTGAACAAATTTATACTTTAACATTACCCTTTTAAATATTTTAAAACAAGAATACTCATGACTGGATGAATTTGGGAAAACTTTTGCTCGTTTGATGCACAGGCTAAAAGCAAACATACAAACAGAGGAGATTAAAGGAAATAAAAAACAGAAATGCATCAAAGTAAGTTTTCAAATTTTAAATCTGCCAGACAGACAGACATGATAATTCTGATTTTGCTAATGGACAGCCGTTGGCTGATGTTTGGATGTCTCTCTCTGTTAAGAGCAGCAAAAATAAACATAAATATTTAACTATGCTTTGACTTAATTTCCTGTGTTTAAAAGAAAGCAGATGAAACCAGGAGAGACGCACAAGGAGCCCCATCTTGTCAGTGATGAGCGATTCTAAGCTAAAGGTCATTTATAAAAAGTGGATACTCCATTATTGGTACCCTCAGTAATGCCTCTGGTTGATTTCAAAAGTTTAATCTACTATATACAGTGGGGAAAAAAAGTATTTAGTCAGCCACCAATTGTTAAGAAGCATTTAGAACGATTTCAAAGTCCCACACTCCTTCTGTCTTTGTTTATTAAATATGTTGGCTGATTTGATTATACCTTCATTTACCAATAAGAGTGTAGTATAGCTTCAGGGAACACATTTTATTGTGTTTAAATCCTTTTTTCACAAATTTCTCACCACAATCAGCACAGAAAATGTAACACAAGCAACAGGCAGATAACCAGTCAGCACAGCTGCTAATTTAAAGACAGAAATGGCCATTGGCGTGACTGCTAAACCTCAGTTTAATTGTATAGTTATCTTTATAGCTTTCATCACAATTTTAAACATCACTAACAGTAAAGTGTAATTTCTTAAATAGCCTACGTAAATACTCTAATCACATGTACAGACGTACAAAGTCTCGTAAAAAGATCCAACACCCTGCTTCCCTGGGTACCAAACTATAAAAGCTGGTCTTTTAAATCAGCACTTTAAATCAGCAGGGAAATGTTCCAATTATAGACTCGTTAAAATATTACCATAATGAGGTCAAGATTAGGTTTAATTCAAACAAGCAGTCAAACACCAATGACAGACCTTTTATCACTCTTACTTATAAGAGGCTTTCAGACATCAAACAAATGCAGTTATATGGACTTGTTTACTGGAGTTAAAAGGCTTTTATACACTACAGTAAGCATGCCATTATACACACACACACACACACACACATATTATATATATATATATATATAGGGCTATTAAAATTTTATATCTAATTAATTACACAATGTGGCGGTTAATTATTCAAATTAGCTTAATAGAAATAGCTTTAGAAAGATTTTTATTTTTTCATGTTCTTTTTTTCATTTTTAATAAAATTAAGTTCTTTATGAATAGGCTATGTATTTTTGTAGGCCTATTTTTATTTTCAAATTCTTTTTATAAATATTTAAATATGAAATTACTTTTTAAGGGCTATTAAAATTTTATATCTAATTAATTACACAATGTGGCGGTTAATTATTCAAATTGGCTTAATAGAAATAGCTTTAGAAAGATTTTTATTTTTTCATGTTCTTTTTTTCATTTTTAATAAAATTAAGTTCTTTATGAATAGGCTATGTATTTTTGTAGGCCTATTTTTATTTTCAAATTCTTTTTATAAATATTTAAATATGAAATTACTTTTTAATGATACTCGAAATAAGAAACTAAACCTGCCAGTAGGTGGCAGTAAATATCTTAAGTCATTAGCTATGTCTCCATCACCCTGTTGTTTTTGCACATTTTGAAGTATCTAATCGGAAACGGGTGATGAAAACTAATTTGGAAAAAAACAATTTCACACTCGCTTGAGGTAGTTTTGAATTGCGCGAAAAATGGTTCATGCGAACAATGGGAGATGGAAATGCACTTTGCGAATAAATTCCTCCATGCGCATTAAAAAAGTCATGTGACTTTGAGCGACGGGACGGCAAAACCTGTCTAACCAGCAGATTGATCTCGTTGCACAGCATCTCAAATTATATTTTGGTCATTCTTAAATGGCCAAGCAAAGCCTGTCGTCAAAGTATTTCTGTATAATTGCCCCCGAACTGTCCTGCACGACTGTGTTCCCAAACAGCAGCATCCACCTCCGAAAGCAATGACTGCATTTATTGTGTTTCGCATGCTCGAGGCGCAAGTAATTTATCATATATAAATTATTATATTCAGTGGCTTCTCCTACTTTTCTTAGTGATATTTAGTGTCAGTTTATCAGGAAGTGACGATTTTGTTCTCTTTAATTCGTTGGATGGAAACGGTGCTTATTCGCAAATGTTTTATGCAATATTCCAATTTTGTGCATAAGTTAAATTTGCAACGTTGGATGGAAACACGGCTATTGAGTCATTCATTCATTAGATTCATACAAACTGTTGATTCGTTCAGGAATTAAGTAGGACTAATGCTGAGTTCACACTGCACGATTTTCACTCTCCGACAGGTTTTGCGGAATCAGACAAATGCCCGAAATCGGAGGCACATCGGTGCTCATTCACATGAGTGGCAATCACGCAGTGTGAATTATCAAAGACGCAATGTCACAATCTGAGAGAAATCCTGATTCAAAATCCTGCTGTGTGAAATGAGTTCTGACTGAAAAATACAGGGCAACGGGAAGTTCGGGGAGGAGTTATTTCCTTATCACTTCTCGCGTGGGTTTAGTTGTGAAACGTAGCCTAGTTTGCCGACCATGCAGACAGATTTGAAAAGTCCTCCTGTCACCGATCCATCGTGCAATGTAAACACAGCAACAACTGAATGCTACCCCAGATAGTCAACAACGGTGATCCGACGACTTTGGAAATCGTGCAGTGTGAACTCGGCATAAATTGCTGCGGCCCAATGTGCCTACTTATACCATGCCCTTAAAGTAGCCTATGTAGGCTACTCTTTTGGTGAAGAAAAAGTACACACTTTTGAGTGTACAGTAGAAGAGCAGGCAATTAGGATTTGGGACATCTTTCTTTATCACGTCATACAATTGCGTCTTTAATGCCGAGTTCACACTGCACGATTTTAGCCTGATTTTTCACTCGCTGACAAATGCCCGACATCGGAGGCAAATCGGTGCTTGTTCACGCGAGTGACAATCACACAGTGTGAATTATCAAAGACGCGATCTGAGGGAATCGCCGACATGTCGCTGTCGGCGATTCACAATCACGCAGTGTGCAATGATTTATGACTTCTGACATCAGCCAATGAGAGACCAAGATACAGGACAGAGGGAAGTTCAGGGAGGACCGCTCTGTCACATAGTTACATGCACTCTGTCACTGTAAACTGGCCTGTCAATCATCTGGTCACAGTTAACATCCTTCACATTTCATTTCATTTAACATCCTACCATACTGGAGAGAAAAGAAGTAGCTGGTTGATCTTCCAGCCATGGGTCTTTATGCGGAGAACTCTGCTCATTTTTTTTTTTGCATATTTATGCATTTAAAAGTTAATGGCCAAATGGATGCTTATAAAGGTTCACGTTGTTTTAACTAATTAAACTAATAAATTATTAGTTTTTTTTTTTTTTTTTTTTTACTAATTTTTTTAAATAATTTTTTTGTTTGTTTTTATTTAACTAATAAAAAGTTTAGTATCACGAAATTCTTGCACAATTTGAAAAAACATTATTGAAAGAAAAATTGGACGTTTCATATCATAATAAAATTAATTATTACACGATTATAGTCACCGGTCTGAAAAAACCTGCAGGTGATTTGGCATTTCTTTATATTTACACAGTTTACTAATGCAGCTCAAATGTGCCATTAATGTACTGACACAAAAATATATAGTGTATTTTATACAAATACAACTGATGTAAATGACAGCAGATGATATAAATAAAAACAGTTAACAATGTTATTGAATAGAATATATTAAAACCGGTATTGCACGACATAGGCCTATTCTTATAGGCTACACAGACAAAACAGTCGGAGATGTGTTTTCTATTTTACGCATTAGTTGCAAATAAAGACTTTGCAAGTTCTCTTGTAAAATAAAATAATAAAAAGACAACATGGAATAACTCTCAACATTAGGCTAACAGACAAATGACTAAAAAGGTCAGTTTAATCTCGCAAAAACTCCCGTTAATAAAAAATCTGACTACACTGCACAATGAATCTCGCACACTGCATCTTTGTTGTTTATGAAGAAATTCGGTGCTTGCACGTAATCCGCTTTTATTATTATTTATTGCAGCTTAGATGTTCAATAGCTGCAATACTCCGACTTTGCCACAAGGAAAAGAGCTCAGTTTAATCTCGCAAAAACTCCCGTTAATAAAAAATCTGACTACACTGCACAATGAATCTCGCACACTGCATCTTTGTTGTTTATGAAGAAATTCGGTGCTTGCACGTAATCCGCTTTTATTATTATTATTGCAGCTTAGATGTTCAAATAGCTGCAATACTCCGACTTTGCCACAAGGAAAAGAGCGTACACCTGCTCAGACCATGACGTGACGGTAAGTATTTTTCCACGTCAAAGACCGTTTTTATAAATATGAACGTTGCCGTGGATTTTAGCGTACGCACACTCTAAGATCAAATCTGTGCATATGCTCATTTTATAAATGAGGCCCTAGGATTCGGATGGCAGCGTTCACACTTAAACAAACCGCACTAACAGAGCAATCACCAGGGTTTGGTTTAATCGAACCAAACAGGACAAGTGTGAACACACCCTAAACCTCTCTACTTAACTGTCGG